CTTTAAAAGTTCTCCACTCAGGCATTTTACTATAAAAAGGCAGCATTAGAGGTGGGCTTCCTCTTTAGCTGGTTCAAGACGGCTGCCACAGAGGACACCTCCTGAGGGTAACAAACAAATTCATGTTTAACACAGATTACATTACAGTCCTGCATGAACACTCTTTAAAGAAAACATGTTGCTTCTCAACAACAAGGCATCGACATTTCTACTGTGGCTGAATCAGGTACAGATGTTTCACGGAGACTAGGAATTTCTCTTTTTCTTCAAATATTTTTTTTTAACTCACACAATAAAAACTAGTTAGATATTTGTGTAATCAGCTCTAAAAAAAAGCTGCTTACTTTCTTACATTAATGTTTATTTTGCAGGTCCAGGTCTTGTCTTCATAGTTTACCCACAAGCTGCAACTCTGCTGCCCTGGCCACAGGTCTGGTCTGTGTGTTTCTTTTCCATGATCATCTTGTTGGGTATTGATAGTCAGGTCAGCATAACCTGCTTCTATCCTTCTAAATAATATAACACATTTGTTTTCTTGAGGTTAACTAATAATATGTACGCTCATCTCTTTTTGTGTTATTCTCCAGTTTGCAGGGACTGAAAGCATCATGACCTCCTTATCAGACCTCTGTCCTTCCCAGATCAGAAAAGCATACCGGAGGGAGCTCTGTCTGATGCAAATCTGTGCTGTTAGCTTTGCCTTTGGCCTGTTTTTGGTCACACAGGTCAGTTATCTCATAGACGTTTTACAGGATTTTGAATGTTGCTTTATAGTTTATGCCATAAAATACCATGTGAATGGCGAGTTTTGACATTTTCAATTTATATATGCCGAGTGACATCAAAATTGTCATCTTTTGAAAGAACATTCAAAAAGATGAAATGCACAGGGACACATTCTAATTCTGATGTGCACTATCATTCAGGCGGGAGCGTACATTCTGCAGATCTTTGATCACTGCGTTTGCATTGGTCCCACTCTTCTTCTGATGGCAATCTTTCAGTGTGTGATTATTGGATGGATATATGGTAAGATGCAACATGCACGTTCATCTTCATCACTGGAACACGAAAGCTATCTGTATTTGCTCTGTTCATTTTTATTTTCTAGCTAATCAATTCAGGTATAAAGGCATGCGCAGTCAGGTATTTGGTCTGGGAAAATGCATGAGGTGCACTCAGACTTTGTCTTAGCCACTCAGCAGGGTCGCAGGAAGCTGGGGCTTAACTCCAGCAGTCATCAGGCAAGAGACAGAGGGTCAAACTGGACAGGTCTTCAGTCTATCACAGGGACACACAGAGACTAACACCCACTCTCTCATTCACTGGGAAAATTTAGGCCTAGTTTCGAAACCCACACTGCGGCCTACGGTCCTCTCTTTGACAGTCCAGTAAACAAGTATGCAAATAACTGCAGAATTGGGACAGTGAGCGTCGTGTCATCCACCTGCACCACTGCATCGTATCTCCATGACTTTCTAAATGAGGGATGCTGGTCACTGGTCGTGCTACTTTGCTGTTTGAGAACTGAATGATATTTAAACAAGTGATTAAATTGCTGGCATGTTGTCTGACAATGCACCCAGGTACCGCTATCAGTTCATATCTTTAGACCAAGATGTAATGCATCTTTCCAACAGAGAAACACTTGATTGTTTCCACTCAAAAATATATATTTTTTCAAATGGTACTCAATGCATTTCTCTGCCTTCTTCTTAAAATTGTGGGTATTACCCCTTACCAGAGCCTGCATCGGTGCAGATGAAGGGTGCAGAGTTGGAGGGGGCAAGGTCCTCACTTGAGAATTGGTATACACTCTCACACACTTGTACAGGAATGTGCAGTCTAGAGGCAAAAGCCTCCAGTTAACCCAACATGTATGTTTTTGGTCTGTGGGAGGAAACCATAGCACCTGGAATTACCCCCCACATGCTCAAGGAGAACTTGCCAGCTCCTCGCAGAAAAGCCACAGCTGGGAGTCAAACCTGCAACCTTTTTGCTGCTAGTCAACCATGTTACCAACTGCTCTATCATAGAACATCTCTCTGCATTTTTTCCATTTACTATATCGGTTTTGAGTGCAGGAAACGCAAATTTCCGCTTTTGTCAACTGATTTGTACATCACTGAAACTTTGCCACATCTCTGATCCATCACTCGAAGACAGGACTGTGACATGCCAGTCCTTTTCTGGTAAAGAAGACAGTGCAGCAGATTGCTCCTCATCTTTAGTGTCCTTGATGCTTTTCTTCTAGGAGCCGGACGATTCTGTGACAACACTGAGGACATGATTGGTTACAAACCTTTGCCGCTACTCAAGTACTGCTGGCTCAATGTCACACCTCTTATACCATACCATACCAATTTTATTTATATAGCACATTTAAACACGGCATGAGAGCCGACCAAAGTGCTGAACAAAAACACACAATAAAAACAATCAAAAATAAAAACTAAATCCATTAAAATCAAGTAATCCAACTCGAAAAGAAAAGGAGAAAGGGAATAAGTTAGACAGAATTAAAAGCCAGAGAATAAAAGTGAGTTTTTAAACAAGACTTAAAAAGGGAAAGAGAGGAAGAGAGTCTGATCGGGAGGGGCAAGTGGTTCCAGAGCTTCGGTGCACAAACTGAAAAGGCGCGCTCCCCGCGGGACTTACAGCGAGAGCTAGGGACATGTAGGACGTGTTGGTCAGCTGATCGGAGGGATCTTGTAGGGACATATGGGTGAATGAGCTCAGACAAGTAGCCAGGTGCTAAGTTATTGAGGGATTTAAACACAAAAACCAGGATCTTAAACTCTATCCGGAGATGGATGGGGAGCCAATGGAGATTTGCTAAAACCGGTGTGATGTGTTCCCGCTGCCTGGTACCAGTCAAGAATCTGCACGGTAAGCCTCTGAAGTGATTCTGAATATTTTCCTTCACTTTGATTCTATTTATATGTGTCATGCTTTGTCTCCTTTTTCAAGGGAACCCTTTTCTTTCTGCTGCTGAGATGCACCCCATTGAAGTTCAACAACACTTACATGTATCCTCACTGGGCTTACGGATTTGGCTGGTTTCTGGCCATGTTGTCCCTTTCTATGATCCCAATCAACATAATCTTCAAGCTGACCAAAGAACAGCTTTGGTCTCTCTTTGGCAGGTCAGTGAGATAAACAAAGCCTTCAATGTTAAAACGATTGCAATTATGAAAGTGATTGTTTTTCCAGCGACTTAAGACCAGCTCCCGGCCAGCAGATGACCTTCCAGTGACAGTGAAGGAAAGGGCAAAGGTCAACTCTTTCCTGCATGTTCGTAACGACGAGCAAAATGACCTATTGTGCAGTTCTGATCATTTCATTATATAAGATGTAGACTCATAGATCAGGAATTCCCCTAATTAGCTCATGTTTTATTGGTAAATGATGGCGTGTCTATCTGCAAGGGCTCTATGCTTTTCACTGCAACACTTGGGCTGTTGGGTGTTTATCTATGCAGGGTGTAACAACTCAACAAAAGCATAACAATCATGTTATACCATGATTTTAATCTCTTTTACATATGCCTGCTGTCTGTGTCAAACAGCTTGACACATTGGGATTGAGATGGATCAAATCTGGCATCTTCTTGCAGGGTTGTAGATGAGTGTTTGGATTTAACCTTTAACAAATGTGGCTAATCTGAGCCTAAGACTTTAATTATTTAGTTGTCAAATACCTATGCATACTTTTTGGTGTGATGATGCCTTGAGAACATTTCTTCATTATTGCAAAACAGATCTGTTTACAGATCTGTAAGTGGTGCTTGTTTATGGAACCTTTTAACTTTCTGCTTGCTTCTATAAAGTTCTGGACAGTATTTTTTTTATTAATGCACACAATGATAATGGTTTTTGTGTAATGGCTTTCTTTTTTTAATTCACACTAAAATACATACAGAAGACAATGAGGATTCCTTTTTAAATACTAAAGTTTCTCCAGTAGATAAATTTGAAGTGTTTGTTAGATGATTTATTTAGCTGAGATGTTTAATCTGAGCCCTGCTCTAGACATTCTACTTAAAAACAATCTAACCTATTTGAAATTTGACTGATCAAAGCTTTGGCTGCAGCAACAAGCATTTTGCAGGTGGAACATTTTTTGAGAATTGAGAAAAAGATCAAAAATTTTCAGGCATTACAGTGGCTAGTTACAACGATGACAAATAAAGGATCATGGACATTTTTGCATAAATAATGTGACCTATGCAGAGCAAGGCTTCGGTGTGTGCACAGGTTTATTGGGACACTTGACCCAAAGAAATTCTACAAGACAAGGCATTACAGCATATCATTCTTATTAGTACAGATAAAGGCCAGGTATGTGAGCTCTGAGCTGTGGCCAAGAGTTAAGGATGTAAAGACTAATAATATTAGTTAATCCCTTAAAGATTTGCTCTTGGTTACCTTAAAGCTGTTTTGATGTGCTAAATGAGGTTTGTTTAGCAATATTTTAAAGTGTGTGCGTGGGGGTGTACTTGTTTCAGTGGGGATATTGTATTACTTTTTTTTTCTACAGCTCTTTGAGCTGCTTTTGGTATGAAAAGCGCTTTATAAATAAATTTTGATTCAAGTAGATTTTGACTTACAGTGACACTCTGCTCTGCTGAAACCTTTGTAGAAAAATAAACACTCGTGTCCCCAACTATATACTTTAGAGTGACATAATCAAACACTGAGTATGATTACTGTGCATTTGTATGGGTAAGATGAGTGAGACTGAGCATTGTTTACTGTCCTCAAAAGATGATTCCTCTTGAAATGAAACATCCGTAATGGCAAGTTGTTAACAAAATTAAATAAAAAGCCTGGTAAATTTAATGATAGTGTACATAAGCCAGCCAATGAAGTCAGACAGTTTTTAAATGAAAGGAATTCAGTGAAAAACATGAAATAAACATCATTTGCAGCAGTAGCATGAGAAAGTTTCACTGTTGTGATCCAGAAACAAAACAACAGAACATAAAATACAACTTCAGATATTTCTCGCATATTTATTTCAAAATGTATACAAAAAATTACAAATTATTTTTGTACGTGTCTACATGGGTACAGTGGCTCTGACAATTTTGATGTCATCAGCTGGACGATCTTGACTGTTTGTTTCCACTAATCCGATCCGGTTCAACACTCCAATCCCCTGACACACTCTTCCAAATATACTGTGCTTCCCATCCAACCACTGAGCGGGTCCCAGTGTGAGAAAGAACTGACTCCCATTGGTGTCCGGTCCGGCGTTGGCCATCGCAAGAATCCCTGCTCCTAACACATGAATAAAAGGGAAGAAAACTTTAAATTAGCTTTTTTTTCCCTTCCCTGTTTAACTTTCACCATTAACAAATATAACAGCTGTGTTTTCCTCTGCCAACACCTTTCTCTGTGAATACCTGTGAACTTCAGCTCCGGGTGCAGCTCATCTTCAAACTGTTTACCATAAATGGAGGCACCACCTCGACCTAAACAAAGGGAACAAATACCAATGCTTTAGCTGTAGCTGAGGGGCAGCAGTAGCTCAGGAGGTAGAGCAGGTTGTTCAGTAATCGGAAGGTTGCAGGTTTGATCCCGACTGCTGTTGTGCCCTTGACCAAGACACTTAACCTGCTGGTTGTGGTCAGACCCCAGGACACTAGCGTATGAATGTGTGTGTGAAGCGCCTTGGGGGGTTGTAGAACCCTAAGAAGGTGTTATACAAATGCAGGCCATTTAGCTGATTAACTGATCCATATCAATGCAATATGGGAGTGCAATATAAACTTGTGCATCTGTCTGGTGGTGATTTGATTAGAATCTTATGCCACCTATAAAAGAAATTCAGGAGATGTTGAACAGCACTGGATCTAATACTGCATGTACCAAAAATATTTGATGTCTTAACATTACTGGGATAAACTAACCATTATTACAAAGAAAAACTATCAACATTTATAGTAGCACCAATAAAAGTGTGTCAACATTCTAGATTATTGTCATTTTAATTGGGGCATGAATGACAAAATGAGGATCTGATATTGTTTGTGTTTCAGTGAATGTAAAATGAACTCCTATTTATACATACACGCATATGCATACACGGTACTGAGAAGATGGTCCCAGCAGCTTCTAAACGCACCTGTTCCTGTCGGGTCTCCACCCTGCACCATGAAGTCTTTGATTATCCGGTGAAACCTCGTGTTGTTGTAGTAGCCTCTTCTGGAGAGTTCGGCGAAGTTCTTACAGGTTTTTGGAGCATGACTCCAGTAAAGCTCCACCACAACCGTGCCCATCCTGCAACACAGTTTCTACCATTACCCAGACGACGTAAACAACAGCTCTGAATCAGCCACAAATGATAGCATTCAACGTGAACTGCTGTTCACTTACTGTTGTGTTACAGACAAAAACGAAATCGATCAATTAAAAACGACCTCAGACAGACAGAGGAAGCTAACAAAGTTAGCATTCCTAGTTTTAATGATAACTTACGTCGTCTCCAAAGCCACAGTGGTGGGCTGCCATGTGTCTGGAGGTATCCCCGACATTATCACGCCAAATTCTAGCTATAAACTCCAGAAAAACTTATAAATTAAGCTTTAAATGTGTGGTTTTTATCAACCGTATGGATTCATTCAATCCGTTTCACTGGAGAATTCTTCTTCTACTGGTAATAACAGCAGAAGAACTTGTGGGAACAAGAGTATGTAAGAGGTCTATCGCCCCTGCTGGTTAAACACAGACACGCCTTGCAGTTTGTTCATTGCATTCTTTGACGTGAATGATTAAATCCTTATTTCCATTGTGCATTTTAGACCTTTGTACAATGGTACAAAATCAATATATAAATAACAACCCAGTTAATGTGGTAAATGTTCATCTGAGTGGCTGTATTAAAAACATAAAATTAGAAAAAAGAAGAAGAAACAATTTTATGTAGCAACTCTCAAGATAAAAAACCCCAAGGCACTTCACATGAACATAAATTAAGAAAATAATTAAGTAAATAAATTATTAAAAATATTATAAAAATGAGACAAATAAATTGTGATAAAAATGTGAGGAAAAGGAAAGAGAAAATTAATGAGAGAGTGGATTTCCAGAGTGAAATAGGTAGAAAGAGCTGAATAAGGAGAAGGTAGTGATGAAGGTCAAGCCATAACCGGCCTCTTGCAGTATTCTAAGAAGGAAGAGCGAACAAGAGAACTGACATGAGAATCCAGGGTGAGAGCTGGGTCAAAGGTCACACCAAGATTCCTGACAGAAGGTTTGGTGTGAGAAGCAAGCTGACCACAAGACAGTCTCTGACTTTGGGAACCAGCTTGTCTGGGGCACAGATGAGGATCTCAGTCTTATCTTCATTCAGCTGTAGAAGTTCCCAGCCATCCAGGTTTTAACAGACTCCAAGAAGTTAGCAGCTGCAGCTTAGACATCTCAAGGGGCTTAAAGGAGATGAACAAATTAATATAAGGTGAGCTGCTTTCTTGGGTATAAATCACAGTGTCTTCATGTAAGGTTTAATCCAGCCAAACTTTACAGCAAAATCGTTATTTACATATTTGCAAATTGAGAAATTACTAACCTACTGCCCCAATCACAATCACCTCTCATTTGACATATTTGTCTGTATTTGTATGGCTGCATGGTGGTGCTGTTGTTAGCACTGTTGCCTTGTAGCAAGAAGGTTGCAGGTTTGAAACTCAGCTGTAGCCTTTTTGCGTGGTGTTGCATGTTCTCCCAATGCCTGCGTGGGTTTCCTCCACAGGTACTCTGGTTTCTCCCACAGATCACAACATGCCCTATAGGTTAAAAATTGTATGTCGCTTTGGATAAAAGCATCTGCCAAATAAATAAACGTAAACATAGTGGACTATTGAAAGTGAAACCAAATTAAATAGTAAAAAAGCTAGTTATATAGAAACATTATAAAACGGCAACGCCAGTATATTTTGAACTTTCTAAACTCTAAAGCTGAAATATATTTTATGCATATTGAAAATTAATGATCAATCACTGACGTAAATGGCCTGTATTTGATATGGCGCCCTCTAGAGTCCTGGACCCCCCCCCCCCCCCCCCCCCCCCCCCAAGGGGTTGCTCCCAATCAGTCATTCACCCATTCACACACACATTCACACGCTGGTGGGGATAAGCTACGATGAAGCCACAGCTGCCCTGGGGCGCACTGACAGAAGCGATGCATCTGTCTTTAATTCTCTTTTATACATTGTTATGGAAAAATCTATGTTTATTAATTCCTGATCATGGACTCAATCAACTGGATGTAATGCATTGCTCTCTGCATGCTCACTTACTCATACACACACATTCTTGTCACACACACACACACACACACACACACACACACACACACACACACACACACACACACACACACACACACACACACACACACACACACACACACACACACACACACACACACACTGACTCTCTACCTCTTACCTCTCCCTATAAATAAACCTTGTGAACAGATATTCGAGGCAATTGCTTCAGCATCTTGCCACAGCTATAACTGTTTGACTTGTCTGCTCATTGTCTCCTTCTCTCTTCACTATAGGTAATGGGTTATTGATAAACATATAGAGAAAATCCATGACATTATTTGTTCCTTCTAGAGCCGGGGTCCCATCACCTCGCGTCGCCAAGAGCCGATGCCGGAGGACTGTCGACAACCTAATTTCCTCCAGTGCTGAGTTTGCTGGGGTGTCGGTGAGGCCTTGACGGCAGACCCACGAACTACTCAAGCCATGAGTGGAGAGAGATTCGGTGAGACAAGTTTGTTGTTGTCTTTTTGTAGCTTTGTCTTGTGGTACTGAGAGAAAATCCTAGGTGACCAGGGGCTAAATTCGGGTTTTGAGCATTTTGCCGGAAAATATAAATGCAAACAGATTCCTGGAATGCTATTTTGGTAGAGAATGGACCAGGGTGATAACTGAGGGGTGACCTAAGTGAGAGGTGGCCTGGCTTTTGAGCGTTTAGCCTCTAATACAAACACAACTTGAGTTGTCATTCATGGTTGTGTGGTCAGAGAGAAAGATAAACAGATTCCGGGAATACTGAATTGGCTTGGGTTTTTGAGCGTTTTTGCCGAAATATAAATTCAACCCTGGTGTGATAACTGAGAGGTTAGATTGGTTTTTGGAACAGGATCCGTGCAGTACTGTGCAGTAGGTCCATGGGTGTGAAATTAGCCATGTCGTACAGTCAAGTAGGTCCATGGATGTAAAATTTGCCTTGAATAGAAACGTTGTTCTGGTTATCTTGTTGTTGTTGTTTGTTGTGTTGGATGTTGTCTGTTTAAAATGTCGACTGGATAAATGACAGTATGGAAAGCGTTCTACGCGTGGTATCTATGTATGGGGGGAAATATAACTCACAACATACCTTTTGAGTAAATATGGATGAAAGTGTTGATTGAGTATATGTGGAAAAGATCTGAAAATTATCAGAGAATTGATGGAAGGCGTGTTTTTGAAAACCGCTGACGTGTCACAAATGTATTATGCTGCGAGGGAGCACAGTGCGGTAGAGAGAAAAAAAGGGTTGAAAATGTGAGACAGACGAGGCAAGGCCTACATGAAAATCAAAACATCCGCAGCTGTGCTCTGAGCTAATAAGGTCTTATCAATTGAGGCCTGAAGGTTATAACTAGAAAATGAAAATGGAAAATATAATTTGAACGGCTTCTCAAAATTGTAATTTACTTATTTGTTCTGTACACTGAGGTGAACAAGTAATAAATAATTTGCACATTATTCAGTGTTACAAACAATATTTGTTGAAATTTGTTACATTCACACACAAAGACGAATGAGAATAATTGTTAAATGATTAAGGTTGAAGGTTTCATAATTCGTACATCAAAACATTGGACACGACCCAAATATTTAATTTCTGGTATCTGGTGATTAAAATAATTTGAACTATAAACTGTGTCACATTTAGTGGCTGATAGGGAAAGGGTTTTAGAGAAATCCCTCAATTTGAGACATTAACTGCCTATCAGTACTTGGTAGTAAAATAAGTGCCCAAATAAAAAACGGAAACCCTAACCCTAACCAAGACAAGGGAGTTCAGCTGATGACAATCACACCCGGGTGGACATGAACTGGTGTGCAGTACCCGTTGAATTCAAAGCTGCATTTTGAACACTTTAAAAATATTGTTTGTCATCAATTGAATCTTTCTGGCGTCTGACAAAATGTAGAAACTTTTTCAGATCTCCGATTAGCGGACATTGTGATCAGAACAAGGGGAGAAATTGTCTGGCAGTGAAATTAAATGAGACAGCAGATTAAAGCTGCTGTAGGAAATTTGCATTTATTAAGTTTTAGTTCCTTTAATTCTTCATGTATTCCACGTGGAGGTAATCATTCAAAGCAGGAGCAAAACTTATATATACACCGGTAGGGAATACTGTAAGATGTCATGTTAAGGAAATAGTAGCGCCCTTGTTTCCCCTCTCCTCAGATGTAGAGTGGTACGACCCAGTGGGGGAAGTGGTTAGATTCTTTGTGTTGGCGCCAGTTCTAGAATAAATAGAAAAAAATACAGTTGTCGGTTCAACAAGCTCCATGTCTCTTTCTTTACATAATACAAACAAATACTTCCAAAATAGTATATTGATCTTTGTAATTGCACTTATCGTGATTCAGTGCGGGAAAGAGCAGCAGGCAGGTCAGGTCCCAGCGAGCAAAGTATCCCAGCAGCCATGCCGGAACAAATGGACGTCCAGGTCCTACGAGCCGCAACACCCATCAGGAGGAGCAGAATCCGATGACGAGTCATAGGTCCACCCCCAGGAAGTGAGGATCATCAGTGAAACTCAGGAGAGGAGAGAGAGCACAGCACAGGGAACTTCAGTGTAGAGCATCGACGGATAAATATTGGACAATGGGTTTCCATAGGCTCCAATATCACATTTTTGAAGATAAATGGGAGGTGGCCACCACCGCCATTTTGACCGTGTCACAGGTTCCGTCAAGCCCAGACAATTCCATAAAAGGGAAGAGAGGTGGAGCTGAGAATGGGGCTGTAAGGCTGGGATCAACTGACGACACCCGGCCGAACTAGCTACAAGCTAACCCAAAGCTAACGCAGAGGTGGGAGCTAAACTAACGGAGGTAGCAACCTAGCTACAACCGGAGTTAACTGTGCACAACACCAGAGCTTCTGAGTCAGAGATACACCGGGCTGACCACTGGGTAAAACCGGGTGGAACACAGAGGTCTCCCGAGAGCTCCACAAGCCGGCAGCCGCACAACAGACAAGCGCCACTGCGATCTGAGATGCGCAGAGCTGCCGCTGGGGAGAACCGGGTGGAAAGGTTTCCATCCCAGAGCTCCACAAGCCGGCAGCCCGCGCAGCAGACAGAAGCCGCGATCAGACAGAGATGTGCCGAGCTGCGGGGAGGGGAGAACCGGGTGGAAAACATTGGTTTCCATCCAGAGTTCCACAAGCCGACAGCCCGCGCAGCAGTCAGGAGCCGCGATCAGACAGAGATGCGCCGAGCTGCGGGGAGGGGAGAAACGGGTGGAAAACATCGGTTTCCATCCAGAGCTCCACAAGCCGACAGCCCGCGCAGCAGTCAGGAGCAGCGATCAGACAGAGATGCGCCGAGCTGCGGGGAGAACCGGGTGGAAAACAGAGGTCTACCGAGAGCTCCACAAGCCGATAGTCGGAACCATTGACATAAATATATTGGACATCTCCTTTCCATAGGCTCCAATATTATGTTATTGAGGCCAAATGGGAGGTGGCCACCACCGCCATTTTGACCGTGTCACAGGTTCCGTCAAGCCCAGACACCTCCATAAAAGGGAAGAGAGGAGGAGCTGAGGGTGGGGCTGTAAGGCTGGGATCAACTGACGACACCCGGTCAACTAGCTACAAGCTAACCTGAAGCTAACCCTGGCTAACCCAAAGCTAAGGCGGAGGTGGGAGCTAAGCTAACGGAGATAGCAACCTAGTTACAACCGGAGTTAACTGTGCACAACACCAGAGCTTCTGAGTCAGAGATACGCCGGGCTGACCGCTGGGTAAAACCAGGTGGAACACAGAGGTCTCCGAGACCTCCACAAGCCGGCAGCCGCACAGCAGACAAGCGCCGCTGCGATCTGAGATGCGCAGAGCTGCCGCTGGGGAGAACCGGGTGGAAAGGTTTCCATCCCAGAGCTCCACAAGCCGTCAGCCCGTGCATCAAGCAGGAGCCGCGATCAGACAGAGATGCGCCGAGCTGCGGGAAGGGGAGTACCGGGTGGAAAACAACAGTCTCCCGAGAGCTCCACAAGCCGATAGTCGGAACCCAGCTCCACCATCATGTTATATTTCAACCCATTTTCTAAAGTGCAGCATTATGTTAAATGCACTGGGTTTTACCCTATTAAATTTAAATTTCATATATATATGGTGTTGCTGTAACAAGTGAATTTTCCCACTGTGGGATCAATAAAGTCTATTCTAAACGTGCTAACATTGCAAACACTGTAGATTAATGTTGTACCACGATTAAACTAGTGAAATGAGTTGTGCTGGAGGGGGATCTGCTTACTATCATATGTGGGCATCATCCAGAGAGCTGTTCTGACTTGGAAAGAAAAAAAAGCCATTATCTGAAGTTGTTTCTTTTTTACTACAAACATCTTGACCCCTTTAGCTCCTCTCCTCAAAGTGCATATTTAAATGTTATAGACTTGAAATAAAAAAAGGTGCATTTACAACTAACAATGGGATGATAAACATATCAAAATTTATATAATGTTATTAATGATTCTTTCTGAATGCAAATCTACCTTATACAGGTCCTTCTAAAAAATTGCATATCGTGATTAAGTTCATTATTGTCTGTAATGTACTGATAAACATTAGACTTTCATATATATTAGATTCATTACACACAACTGAAGTAGTTCAAGCCTTTTATTGTTTATAATGTTGAGGATTTTGGCATACAGCTCATGAAAACCCAAAATTCCTCTAAAAAAATTTGCATATTTCATCCGACCAATAAAAGAAAAGTGTTTTTAATACAAAAAAGTCAACCTTCAAATAATTATGTTCAGTTATGCACTCAATACTTGGTCGAGAATTCTTTTGCAGAAATGACTGCTTCAATGCGGCGTGGCATGGAGGTAATCAGCCTGTGGCACTGCTGAGGTGTTATGGAGGCCCAGGATGCTTCGAAAGCGGCCTTAAGCTCATTCAGAGTGTTGGGTCTTGCGTCTCTCAACTTTCTCTTCACAGTATCCCACATATTCTCTATGGGGTTCAGGTCAGGAGAGTTGGCAGGCCAATTGAGCACAGTAATACCATGGTCAGTAAACCATTTGCCAGTGGTTTTGGCACTGTGAGCAGGTGCCAGGTTGTGCAGAAAAATGAAATCTTCATCTCCATAAAGCTTTTCAGCAGATGGAAGCATGAGGTGCTCCAAAATCTCCTGATAGCTAGCTGCATTGACCCTGCCCTTGATAAAACACAGTGGACCAACACCAGCAGCTGACATGGCACCCCAGACCATCACTGACTGTGGGTACTTGACACTGGACTTCAGGCATTTTGGCATTTCCCTCTGCCCAGTCTTCCTCCAGACTCTGGCACCTTGGTTTCCGAATGACATGCAAAATTTGCTTTCATCCGATAAACGTACTTTGGACCACTGAGCAACAGTCCAGTGCTGCTTCTCTGTAGCCCAGGTCAGGCGCTTCTGCCGCTGTTTCTGGTTCAAAGGTGGCTTGACCTGGGGAATGTGGCACCTGTAGCCCATTTCCTGCACACGCAAGTACACGGATGTTTGGATGTTTCTACTCCAGACTCAGTCCACGGCTTCCGCAGGTCCCTCAAGGTCTGGAATCAGTCCTTCTCCACAATCTTCCTCATGGTCCGGTCTCCTCTTCTTGTTGTGCAGCGTTTTCTGCCACACTTTTTCCTTCCCACAGACTTCCCACTGAGGTGCCTTGATACAGCACTCTGGGAACAGCCTATTCATTCAGAAATTTCTTTCTGTGTCTTACCCTCTTGCTTGAGGGTGTCAATGATGGCCTTCTGGACAGCAGTCAGGTCAGCAGTCTTACCGATGATTGCGGTTTTGAGTAATGAACCAGGCTGGGAGTTTTTAAAAGCCTCAGGGATCTTTTGCAGGTGTTTAGAGTTAATTAGTTGACTCAGATGAGTTAATAGCTCATTTAGAGAACATTTTCATGATATGCTAATTTGTTGAGTTAGGAATTTTGTGTTTTCATGAGCTGTATGCCAAAATCATCAATATTAGAAACAATAAAAGGCTTGAACAGTTGTGTGTAATGAATCTAATATATATGGAAGTCTAATGTTTATCAGTACATTACAGACAATAATGAACTTTATCACGCTATGCTAATTTTTTTTAGAAGGACCTGTATATGTGCGTTGTCAGTTCAATCCTGACAAGTGCCTACCAAATGTGTGTGTGTACGCGCGCGTGTAAATGACCGCAGCAGTGTGGTTCCCAGTTTGATTCATGGCCGACGGAGCAGCAGCAGAAGCGGCATAACTGATCAAGGAGCTTCCGTGTGCGCGCGTGTGTGTGTGTGTGATGATCCGCGGCACATGCTCAGTTATGTACATCCAGACACATCTGAGGGATGAGCTGTGGTTGCTGCTGCTGAGGTCACCGCACTGAGGAGAAAAAAAACACTACACCGCCTCCATTTTGAATAGCCATGTAATAGGGGATTCGCATAGTTGCTGTGTGTGTATCGCCCACTGCGCCGCTGTAGTGTCAACAAGCTACAACCAAACATCCTTTGACATGGACGACCTGTTCAGTCCGCGCAGGTAACTTCGTTTACTTGTCCCGCACGATGTATTTGCTGTCCATTTGTGCCGAATGAGCTTTTCGGTGTTTGCCAGCGGTACTTTAAGAGCCGTTTGTGCGCATTAGTCGGAGTGTCAGTGGTCACGAAGTTCGTGTGTGGCTAACAAGCTACGGTGATATGCCTGGTTAGCAGCTAGCAGCTCCTGTGCCTTCCTGCTCGCTGTAACCAACATAAATAACCAGCGCTTTTTTGTACATTTGTAACTCAAACGGTGTTATTAAACACTAAAAGTAAACATGTTTAATAAGTCGACTGTTAAATAAATGACCCCCTTCTTGGGGCGAGACTGTATCTGTGTGGCTCATTTGTGCACGCTAACATCGGTATTTATTATTGGTTGCGTACTTTAGCTGCGGTTAACTACGTGGGGCAAGTCCTTTGCTGACGCCGCTGTCAACCTGTTAGGCAGCCAAATCTGTTCTGTAATGGTGACCGTAGAAATTTGCAGCTTGTGTATGATTGATTGACAGTGTTTTGCGACCGCTGTGGAGTCGGATTTCATTCATGTAATATTAGAAACAGAGGGCGGTGATTGGCTGAGAGGAGTGAAGGGGCGGGACCTCGTCCTGCTGAAATCAGTGCATGGAGATGGGAGGGAAGCTGATTCGGGAAGATGCTCAAACATATACGCCGTTAGCTTTGGTAGCTCGTGTTACATCTGTGTTACCACATTCTCTTGAGTTTAATGTAACTTATTTTTTTAGATTGATATTTACACGTTTTAATGATTACAGGAGCCTGAACAGCACACAAGGCGAGATAAGAGTGGGGCCAAGTCATCAGGTACATCTTTAGTGTTATAAAAATGTTCTACTTGAAAAATGTAACTCATCACAGAAACTGGGTGATTAGTAAACAAGCCTCATAAACCTCAATATCAGCTGGAACTGTTCAAAAGTTTCCAGTTCTAGTTTCTTTATTTTGCTTTCAAGGCACCAACTCTTATCTATAAATGGTCTTGATCAGTAGAAACCAAAGAGGTCCAGTTGCCTTCATTCAAACCCCTATGAAGACTTAAGGTTTTGTACACAAAACTGCAAATCTCAGAATTATTGTGACACCAAAAAGATTAAACTATGGAAAGACTAAATGAAAAAACTTTATTCAAACATCTTTGGGCTGTGATAAGAAACTCCTCCTTAGAGGACCCTGATATGATTACACATGCTATTTTGGGCATTTGACCTTTTAGAATTTTCAGTTTACTTCACAGCTGCTAAATGTTATTTTCATGTGATTATTACCTTCACTTTTTTTTAACCTTTTTTTCTTTTTCTTTTATTTTTTGCAGGCCAAACTCCCAGAGTTACAGCTTCGACCTGCGCCTGGACCACAGGCTCAGGTGGAGAATGAGGAGCTCATGTGGACACCTGGAGTCAACGACTGTGACCTCCTCATGTACCTCAGAGCAGCCAGGTCAGTGTAGTCGGGTTCTGGTTGTGTGGTGAGCATAAATGCTGCTTCTCTGCTGAAAAAACATTTGAATTCAAATCATATTAATCAAAGTTTCACTTTATTCTGTGTTCATTTGCTTGAAAAACAATGATATGTTGGTTTTATTTTTTTTTTATAGGAGCATGGCGGCATTTGCAGGAATGTGTGATGGTGGAGCCACAGAAGACGGATGTTTGGCAGCCTCTCGGGATGACACCACCCTTAACGCTCTCAACATGGTGCGGAGCACAACCTGGATTGTGCAACTAATACTACAAAAATAACATGATTGGATAAGAAATAAGAAGACATCTTTGTTTCTCTCTCCTCTTAACTTTAGCTCCATGCAAGCCACTATGATGCAGCAAAAGCTCTACAGCGTCTGGTCAAGAGGCCACTCCCAAAACTTATTGAAAAATGTTGGTCAGAGGAGGATGTGGTGAGACTTTTAGGGTTGTGCATTCTAAGGTGGCATGTGGAAGTGTTTACATATAAACACACAAAAAATACATTTTAAAAATGGATTTCCTGTTTTTCTAACAGAAACGCTTCATCAAAGGCCTGAGACAATATGGGAAGAATTTCTTCCGAATTCGAAAAGACTTTCTGCCTAGCAAGAAGACGGTGCGTGCAAAAGTTGTTTGGTTTTCTTTTTTTTTTCATGCTTTTTAAATGTCGACAATGGCTTTAATTAATTAATAAATGTGTGCTTTTATCAGGGGGAGCTAATCACTTTTTACTACCACTGGAAGAAAACTCCAGAGGCTGCAGGAACGAGAGCGTACCGACAACAGCGTCGGCAGCCGTCGTCTCGCAAAGCCAAGACGCGATCTGCAGCGGCTCCTGTCAGTGCACCGTCTCGAAATTATTCAGGTGAGATTCTTAAGATGTTTTATTGAAGAAAAAGCAAAAAAAAAAAAGAAACAATACTTGTGTCAGATGGGGTCTCTTCTAGTCTAAAGTGACATTTCTCTTCTTCAGTGGAGGCAAGTTCTGCCAGCGAGGACGATCTGGACAGTGAGGACAGTGAACAGGAAGTAAAGAGCTGCAGCTACTGTAGAACAACGAGTGAGTTTTGGTTTATTTAGCCAAACGAGGAGCTTCAAACTGAACTTTGAAACCTCTACTTATGACGGTGTTCCTTTAACAGCCTCTAAGGACTGGCACCAGGGCGGGAGAGACTATCCTTTGCTCTGCACGACTTGCCGCACTTATGAAAACAAACATGGATGTTTGCCGCCAGCTCCAAAATCTGCCACCTCGTCATTCATGTTCAAACCTGTTAAAGCAGAGGAGGAGGTGAACAACAAGCACGGCATGAGGACTCGACAGAGCAAAGCACCTGTAAGGCTGCACGTCACGTTTCACTGTTCTCATCTATTAGTCATGCATTTGCAGTAAAATATATGCACCAAGCACATTTTTATAAGAATTACGTAAAAGACAAACACGTGGAACTGATCTGATCACTGTAGTTAGTTTTTAGTCATTTTGGTGACTTTTTATTCATTTTTAAAGCAAATGTCATCTTTAAGAAGTGGCCTCAGGAGGTTCACAGGCCCCCCAAACAATGAGGATCACCTGTCCTTCACAAGTGGGATGGCGTCCAGATCTACAGACAAAAACGAATCCTCAAGGAGAGCAAATAAGGTAAATACGAGTCATTGCTTTGAAAACTCCCAGATAATTTAACTACCTTAAATAAATGCAACACAATGTTAGCAGTAATGACGCTGTTTACTGATCTTAAATCATATCTGACTGGACATTGTTTTCTTTTGTGAAACTCACTCTAATAAATTGTGTTACGATACAGGCACTTACGAAAATCTGCCACATCAGCAAGTAACAATGCAGTCATTGTAGTCGTTAATCCCTCTGTGATTATGCTTTTTCGTGTAGAGGATAAAGGAGGAAGTGGCGGCGCCAAAAACAACAAAACGTGTACGAGAAAGTCCTGCTCTGGAGCCTGATGAGCCTGAAAAGATCACACCTAAAAGGCCCAAAACACAGGTGACAGAACCGACCACTTAAGCTACGTAAAAGTTTTGGCTATCTAAAACCCGGTTTGTGTTCCTCCAGGATCCACTGAGCTCCCGGTACGAGGGGGAGGCAGAGGAGGAAAGCTCTTCAGAAAGCCGCAGCGCTCAGGATGACGGCAGCGACACCAAAGACATTGATCAGGACAACCGCAGCTCCTCCCCCAGCATTCCCAGCCCCCAGCAGGGCAACGAGAGCGACTCCGACTCTTTTTCTCAGCCGAACGGGATCCCATTAGAACCAGCTGCCCCCTCTGACACACCAGTCCTGCAGACCCTCCCCTCTCAGGGTCCCCCCATCACTCCTCAGCCATCAGAAAGCATCCCCTCAGCTGACCCACCTCGGAGCCCTCCTCCATCCTCTCTTGACCCCCCTCCGTCCGGTCCATCTGCAGGCTCTAACAGTCGAGTGCAGCCAGTGGTTCAGGCCCTGCCTGGGCCACGGGCTCCACCAGCAGCACTGGTGCAGGACACTCCTCTCTCTCCTGCATTTCAGATCTCACCTCCTCTCAGCTCAGCACCGCCCCCACAGTCCAACGAACCACCACCTCAATCCTCCCAGCGTTCTCTGCCCTTCTTCAGAGAGGCTCAGCCTCCTCTTACTGTCCCCCAAGTCAAGCCCCCTCCCACCACCCCCATTCCGCCTTCACACAAGCAGCTTCCTCACCCGTCTGCAGCTCCTTTCCCTCAGATGCCCTCTAATCTGCCCCCTCCTCCTGCTTTAAAGCCCCTCAAAACTCTGCCTAACCAGCATCCCCCAGGTGCCCCTCCTCCTCCTCTCCAGCTCATGCCTCATCCTCTTCCTGCACATTCTCTTCAAACCCAACCTCCAGTCCCTCCCCAGCTGCAGAATCCTCCCGGTAAAAGCACGGCCCCGTCCCACCCAGCAGCTGCAGCCACCCTCCCCCTCACCTCCGTAACACCTTCTGCTGGTGGTCCCATCCCGAGCCTGCAGGCGTCCTTCCAAACTCTTCCTCTCAGAGCCTCACCCAGCACCGCTGCAGGAGGGTCACAAGTTCAGATTAAGGAGGAGCCGCCAGATGAGGTGGAAGAAGCTGAGAGCCCACCGCCTCCTCCCCGGAGTCCCTCACCAGAACCCACGGTGGTCAACATGGCGTGCCACGCCAGTCAGTCAGCACGGTGCGTTTAACACCACGGTTGCATTCAGTAATAAAAAACAATAGCATCTTATTTGAAAAAAGAAATGAACATGTTTTATTATTATTTGAGGAATGCGTTAAAAACCATAAAAAGCCAAGTTTTGGAACAGTTGAGACTAATTAAGACTTTTGGCAGCAGCACATATTTTGTGTCTCCACTCAACTTCACATATGATGGTGGGATAAATCACTTAAATATTGTGAGCATTTCATAATCCTCTGGAAGCAGGTGTTGCAGATGTGCAACAGTTAAAACCTACCTACCTGGTTACTCCACATACGTATTTCATGAGCATTTTTTAACTCAGAAGTACCCCTGAAGAATTTAGTTGTTCGTCCTTTTATCAAAACTTATTTTGAGCCTGAGAGGGTTAAGACCTTTAGGTCCTTTATTGACTGGCTGTAGTTATTACTATTTGTCTCCATTTAAAATGTATTCTAATCCTAAATGTTTGTTTTAGCGTGTTTTCTGAGAAGTGCATTAACTGATCAATAACTCAGCTGCACGTTGAGGATGGTTGAAAGCGGCTGAGTGCTCTGATCCTGGTGTTCAGTAGAAGTTACTCCTGCTTAGTAAATTTCCTCGTGTGCATGTTTACGTCCAGCTGGAGTTTTAGAATCTGTGATCTTGTTTTTGTTCTGCTTATGGCCTGTTTAATTACTGTGATTTACACCTATATAAATCTGGATATAAGATTTGGGTTTAAATATTAAGCCATGTTCTTCCAGTCCCTTCAGCATTTGTGTTTACAACAGCATGTCTGATTCTTTCAGGTTTATCAAACATTTGGATCGTGGCTACAACTCGTGTGCGAGGACAGACTTTTTCTTCACCCCTCTGTCGTCCTCCAAGCTGGCCAAGAAAAGGGAGGAGGCCATAGAACGGTCCAGGAGGGAGGCAGAGCAAAACGCTCGCCAAGAGCAAGAGAGGGAGAGGGACAGGGAGAGAGACCGTGAACGGGATGCCGATAGAAACTCTGTCAGTGTAACACTTTATTTTTTATATTTTTGATTGATCTTTTGTAGTTTGTCTAATGTTGTTGTCCTCTCCCAGCAGAGAGCCTCCAGCTCTTCTCACGACAGTCGGATGAGTGAGGTTCAAATGGTGGCTCAGGTCCACGGACGCCTGTCCTTTGAGCCGCCGCCTGCCACCGTCGCAGCCGTGCCACCCTATATTGGTCCAGACACCCCAGCCATTCGCACCCTGAACGACTATGCGCACCCCCATGTCATGTCCCCTGGCAACCGCAACCATCCTTTCTACGTGTCTCTGAGCCCTGGAGACCCCCTGCTGGCCTACCACATGCCTGGCCTGTACAGCGTTGAGCCCAGCCTTAGGGAGCGTGAGCTGAGGAACCTCCGCGACCGAGAGCTCCGCGAGAGGATGAAGCCCGGCTTCGAGGTCAAACCCCCAGATCTGGAAGCATTGCACTCATCGGCCAACCCCATGGAGCATTTTGTGAGACAAGGGGCGCTGGGACTGCCCCACATACCTGGCCCCTCTCACCCCTTTGTGCCCTTTCACCCTGGTCTGAGTCATCTGGAGCGAGAGAGGCTTGCCCTGGCAGGTCCCCAGCTTCGCCCAGAGCTGAGTTACGCTGAACGGCTCACTGCAGAGCGGCTTCACGCAGAGAGGATGGTGTCTGTAGCCACAGACCCAGCTGCTCGACTACAGATGCTCAACGTAACTCCTCATCATCACCAACACTCCCACATTCACTCCCACCTGCACCTCCACCAACAAGACCCTCTCAGTCAAGGTGAAGCTCTTTGGTCAGCAGTAGCTCACTAAAATATTTTAAACATATTTGTACTGATTTCACATCTTCTCTCAGGTTCGAGCCCTCATCCTCTAGTAGATCCCCTAGCAACAGGACCACGACTGGCCCGATTCCCCTTCCCCACCGGGCCAATCCCAAACCCCTTGCTCGCCGATCTTCCTCACGATCATGAGATGTTGCGCCACCCACTCTTTGGTTTGTGATCTCATCTCTCCACGTGTCCTCGTGTGCGTTTAAGCAGGTTTAAGTTCAACATGTCTTCTTTCCACAGGAGCCGCGTACCCGCGAGAGCTGCAGGGTCCAATTCCTCAAATGTCTGCCTCGCATCAGCTCCAGGCCATGCACGCTCAGTCTGCAGAGCTGCAGAGGATGGCGCTGGAGCAGCAGTGGCTGCATGGGCACCACCTGCACGGAGGCCCTCTGTCAAATCCAGAAGATTATTACAGGTGAGAGATTCATCTGATTTTGGAGCCAAAATCTAAGCTTTTTTGTCACATTCATGTATTTTTTAATTATATATTCATATTTCTTTAGCCGTCTGAAGAAAGAAGGTGACAAGCCATCTTGAAGTGGTGCATGCACTGAAAATTAATACTGTGTACTTTTAAAGCTGTAAGAGAATATTTTGTTTCTTTTCTGTTTTTTTGAGGGGGTTCGTGTTCAAATATTTCAGAAAGAAAATATTTGTGGATCTAACTGTGCATTCCTTGTTCGGCTCTTCATGAAGCCATCACAGTCCATCTGAGATTTTAGTCCCCTGTCGCGTGCATATTTACACTAAAACGATGAGCAGTGTGAAGCATTTTCTCCAAACTCTTATCATATGCAGTCTTAACAATTTGCCACAGGAAATAAAAACAGACTCCTAACTCTAAATATTCCTTAATTTTCCTTGTTCCTTGTACAGAATGACATTTAAATCGGTGTGTGGATAGTAGCATGACTCTTTTACAATAAAAAAAGATCTTAGAGTAGACCGTTCCATTGTGGCGTTAGGCTTTGGCGGCATAGTAGAGGTTGGATTTACTCCTAAAGCTAATAAGTATTTCTTTAAGTCCTTTAAATTTTATATATCAAGATATCTTTACACAATATATCCGAAGCTTTTATTTGCTGTTTTCTGAGACTGTAAATATTACATGTTGACAGTATATGATTGCTGTTGGTACATCAGTAGATGTGAACACCTTACCCTCGATTCAGCATGAGAACGGTAAAACCTTCAGCTAAAAGCAGCGTGTACTACTCTTAAGGTGTGACCCATGACATGTCTGTCTGTCTACTAACAGAAAGTTTTAATAGAAAAGTGTCTCTATGGTGTTTTTAGTGAGAATGAGCCAATTGGATTAAAACAAATCTTAATTCCTACACATTTAAATGGAGTTTTAAAAAACATTGCCTAAATTCAGTATTTATGTGATATTATATCAATCTGTATCCATGCCATATTTATTTCAATAAATATTTCTGCAATAACACTTTCCATCACGTCGCCTTCTTTTGAGAAATGAAGATAAATTAAATGGAGACCCACAAAGGAGTCTGGAGCTCAAATTTATTGGCTTTAATTTTTTAGGAGCTCAGATTTAATTAATTGATTTAATTTTTTTCACTCAGAAATTCAGTCAGGAGTCACAAATTCATGGTTTATTTGAAGTAAATCATATGAAAGTTTTGACAAATGAGACAACCTTGGTATTAACACTTCTGTACAATGATGATCAGAGCAAAGAACATTTCTGTATAAGCTGTGTGTGGAAATCCTTTGTTTTATAATTATTTACAGGAACGCTTTGACTTTATAGTTTTCAAACCAGTGGTTCCAACATCAGACACTAAGAAAAATACGAGATTTCAAAACAGATAAGCCAAACATTACACATGGACGATAGAATGACATATCGGACCGATTTTTACGTTTTTTGATAAATTTGGTTGCATCAGCCGCTATACATCTTTAGTAGAGCCGATTAAGCGGCAGTGTCCCTGGTGTCTGCACTCTGAGGGAGACCTCTGGATCTCTGGGGCTTGGAACGCCTCCATCTTCCGCGTGTCTTTGTGTGCTGGTCTGTGGCCCCTCACACCCACTATTGAACACTCCTATAGAGAAACCTTACACAAGTGTGTGTACGCACACACATGGTGCTCTCACAAGTATGGACTTGAGCATTTTTAACACACAGCCTCAGGCTGTGGTTGGCACTAAACACTATACATTATTACTGTGTGCTTTTCAGCAAACATTGTTACTCTTCTACATCCTCATGTGGTTTGGCACAATGGTATTTTGGTTCTGTTGTATTTTAGTGTGTCCCCCCTTTTCTCTCTCTCTCTCTGCATGTCAAGAACTAGATTTTTCTACATCCTTTGATGTTTATTTTTGTGAACTATTTTTTTCTTCCCCCTCCTCTTCCTTTCTTCCCCCCCCCCCCTTTCTCTTTCATTTCCCTTTTTTTTACTGGACTCTTCTGCCACCGTTGCCCCGATCTGACATGAAGTAGACCAATTAAATGCAAAGCTAGATGTCTCGAGCCTTTATTTATTATAACTGTGATGATCATGGCTCACAGCTTATGAAAACACCACAATCAAAATCTCAGTCAATTAGAATAGTGTGAAAAGGTTCAATATTGTAGGATCAAATGTCATACCCTATTCAGCAAATGTGTCCAAAGCACCTGCAAAGGCATCCTGAGCCTTTAGATGGTCTCTCAGTCTAAACTGATATACTGAAAGAAACTTTTGCACCATATTGGAATTTTTCCAGTTTCACCTGTATAAATTCAAACCCTATACGTAGTGAATATTTGTCCTTGTGTGGTCCCCAAAAGATGTCATACTTCTTTTATTCTTGAGAAAGTTCAGGTCAGAGCTGATGTTGAAAAGGATTCTTCCTCCTTGTGGACTGACGCAGGTACTGGATGGCTGACAGAGCGCTCACATTTGCTAGAAGAGCTAAAGAGATTTTAAATGAAAAAACTTGAAATTAGACACCAGAATCTATCATCTACCCAGTGGTTCCCAAACTTGGGTCCATGAACCCCCAAGGGGGTCCCCACAATTTTGCCTGTGCTGAGGTTGAGATTACCAAGTTTATATTTGTAAAAATTACATAAAAAATCCCAATAACACACCCAATAGTTTAATCAAACTGTATAAAAGTTAGAACTCTGTTAGTCTCTATGAATTTTGGAATTAATCATGTGTGTGCATCTTGGAAGGGGTTGGGGGGGCCCTGTCTTGGACACAGGAAAGGGGGTCAATGTTAAAAAAGATTAGGAAACACTGCTCTACATGACTAATGCCTCCACACCTTAATCTCCTTGGTTTAAGACTAAAACAAAAAATGTTAATGAGTAAAGATATTAGTTTTGTTTGCACTTTTTCAACATTCTCAGAGGTAGGAGTCTGCCCTGAGACTGGGACATCGTGGGTTCAAATCCACATTTGGGTCATACCAAAGACTTTAAAAATGGGACCCAATATCTCCCCACTTCACACTCAGTTTTAAGGAGTTGGATTAGGGTGTTAAATCACCAAATAGTTCCCGAGCGCAGCCATAGCTGCAGCTCACCAAAGGTGACAGATCATTTGCTGCTGTGGCCCTCAGACTCTGAAACTCTCTTTCCCTGAGCCTGAGATCAATGGACTCAGTGGTCTCCTTTAAAAAATAGCTGAAAACTCACTTGTTCAAGCTGGCTTTTGTATGAACTTCTTCACCACTCTCTTTATTCTGCTCTCCCCACCTATTCCACCTTCCTCAGGATCCACTGATTTCCCTCTTATCTATTCACTCTCTCTTTCTTAACATTTTTTAATTACACTTGCCTATTTTTGCTCATTTTAAATATATTTTTAACCATTTTCTAAATTCTTTTTGATATTTTTACATTTTTTGTTTTTGTGAAGCGCCTCATGATTTTTATCTCGAGAGGCGCTATAGAAAAGATCTTCTTCTTCTTCTTCTCACAGCTTCCCATATGGGTCAAATACTGAGATGTCATTTCACCAGTGTGTGATGATGACTAATGGGAATTTAAGATATTTAATACAATGCCAATTTTTTACCATCACATATAAAGTAGGAAAAGTAGCTGGAAGAAATGTATATAAAAAGTAATTATTTTTGGTGTGAAGTAACTACTCTGGACTTAATGAACCTCGGTTTTTTTATTGGGGAAAAATAGAAAAAGATCATATTTCTTTGGTTTAGGTGTTTCCTACCTGCTTTCCAGGCATCTGTAGCCTCTGGATCCGAAGATCTGAGGACCCAGGAGGCAAAAGCGATGCAGACTAAACACATATCTGACTGCTTCACTGTGGAGAAGATGCCATTTCGCTCTGTAAGAGACACAAACATCATCATCATCATTTGTTGGTTTTATAGCCCTTTAAAACTAGACAGACATCAACATGAAAACAGAGCTAACCCCATTGCACAGAGATAACACATGGATCAGGTTTAATTAGCACTATAGGAGAATGTGTTGCTCTGTCCTAGTTCATCTATCATGGTTGCCATGATGGGTCATACAGTTGTTCACAAGGAAAAAGGAGAGAAAATGATTAAAACTTCCTCCATTCTCTGTTTTCTATACCCTTCGTGACTTCTACCCTCTAACTCTCTGAGGATTATTCCAGGCTTATGTGCTGGACTTTGGAAGGCTGATAAAGCTCCCTTTGCATGAGAACAACATCAAAACAGATGTTAAAAAGAACATCACACATAAGATTTTAATAAGAAAACTCCAAAAGCACAAAAAGCCGTTAAACCAAGTCACTCCAGAAATAAGCAAGACCTACTCTGGAAAATGTCCAGATGGCAGCATCACTCCAGAGTAAAGCCCTGCTTGGATTCACCCCAGCAGGGTTACCTTTTTCTTTTCAGCCCCAAACAAGACAGTTTTTTTCAATGTGCAAGTAATCAGTTACAAATGAAGGCTTGTTTCTGCCTGATTTATTTATTTATTTTGGGCACTTACTTATCATCGAAACATTTTCCAAACCTTCCAGTTTCTCTTCCAGCTCTGTGAACTCCTGAGAAGAATCTGGACCGACCTTTCCCTCTCTGATCTCCGACACCATTGGATTCTCCTCAGTCTCAGCTGGGAGCATCCAGACGCTGTATCCTCTACAGCAGATGCTGCCTTTGTCTGGGAAGCTAATTCTCCTCATGGACAGCAAAGTTTTCCAGCATTTCCCTGTTGCATGTGGATTGGCCTGAATGAATGAACGAGACACAAGCCTGATCGGAGAGATTTCATCCTCTCTTAGGAAAACACGCAGAGGCTTTGGGAATGTGAACTCTCCGATAGTAGGGTGAGAGCAGGAGAAAATGGGAATGGGTTTGTCCGTGCTGGAGGGTGCAATTTCTCTACAGAGGGTGGAATTAAAGTTCAGATCCACAAAAATCTTCCGTGGATCATAAGCAGTGAGGCTCTGTGACTTGGATTCTCTGAAAACGCATACAGGAATCTCTGGATTGGATGTTTGGTAATGTGCATCCAGAACATCAACGTGGGAGGAAAAACATGCAGGAATGAGAGCTTCCAGGTAGTTATTTGGATTTAAATCATGGAGACACAGAAAACTCTCATCACTGCGATGTAATGGCAGCAAACACAAGTCTTCTGTGTTGGGAGCATCATGAATGCTTTGCCCCTGGTTGCCAAAACACCCTAAAACATCCTCAAGAAGGACAGGTGTCTCCCTCCCATCCGAGCTTTTGGAGCCGTCCTCATGTGCTAAAAAAGAAGAGGCACTTTGTTGATTATTGTGGTAAAGATCAGGACTTGGATTGGCACTGGCACCAACAAAAGGCCAACAATCTTCCTCGCCATCTGAGTTCAGAAACTCACAACTGCAGCGATCTGGTTTAGAGTCATCAGGCTGTGTAAAATAGTCCGAGTCTGCAGCGTCTGACGTGTACGTCAGTCCGCTGTCAGATAGATGATACTCCACAGCATCACCCTGTGAGTTTATTGGATCTGGCTCAACTTCTTCTATAAGCTTTGGATGAGAGATTCTACCTTTCCTCACCTGCAAAATGTCGTTTATTGTCAGTTTTTCCATGTCATCCCAGAAAGCGGAAATGGCAAACACAGGTTTAGTGTTTCCGGCGGCTTTTGCGTATGTTTCTGGACTGTCGAGCAGAAAGCAAGGTGGGTCAGGAGCAGGGAGAGAGCTGAGATAATCTTCCTGAGAACAGACATTACAGCTTAGAGCGGTTTGAGGCCCAGATGTTTCCGAGCTTGAGTTGTAGTCACATGTGGAGTCGTCGTCTGGCGAATCTGCAGCTGATGGACATGCGATAGAGGGCTCTACAGAAGTGATTTCATAACAATTACAGTTTGCTGCCGCCACTGCAAACTGTGAAGACATCTGTTCGTCCTGGACTTGGCCAGCTTCAGCATCCTTGGTGCTGCTGTCACATGTCAGAGATAATGAGCACTGTAAATAAGGGCTTTCTGGAGGAGGATGCTGAGCTTCCTTCATGGTTTCAGCAGCTAAACAACTCTGAGAATCACAAAAGTCACCAGAAAAGAGTTCAGCATGGCCTTCAAGATTGTGATACTTTATGTGCTCCAGTGATTTTTCTTGTAAACCACCAGACCCGTGGGACAAATCACCACTTTGATACTCTCCAGGTTCTTGTTTAGTACCGTTTTCTGCTGAGCTCTCCTGCTGGCTGAGGATGCCCTCGTGACCTCCCTCACAGGCTTTTTTTTGCTTGAGTTTTTTTTTCAAAGAAGCAGAACGCCCTCGCCGCTGTCGTCGTGCCAGGTTATCATCTATAGTCACAAACCAGCGCTCCTTCTGTGCTCCTGTGTCACTCACCCTTTCTGAGGCATCCAGCTCATTCATGCTCAGATCTGCTGGGCTGTAAAAAAGTAGTTCAGAATCTGCAGCGGGTTTGTGGTCACTCGTTTGCACATTTCCATCTTTTGTTAGTCTTTTTGACTCCCCTGAGTGGAAACAATCACGTGGTTTTGTTTGTGTTGTGTAGGTGCTGTTTTGTTCAGTCTCTTTGTGCAATGACTCCACAGTGATGGTGTTTCTTTCTGGACAGCTGACACATATTTCCAGCTCTTTCGTGCATGTTGCAGAATCCTTCTCCGCTCCCCTTGAAACACTTTGATTCAGCCGCTTTGGGGAATTTGTACAGCCTGTGCAGCTTTCTTCTGCACCAGGGCTCATCTGTGATTCCTGCTGGCCTGACTCCTCTGGATCACTGAGGTCAGAGTCATCAGGACAGGCGAGCGATGGCTGGAGAAGATCACATTCCTCACTTTCATCAAAGAAGCTGCTCCAGTCATCTTCTGCAATATGAATGCTATGATCAAAATCATCCATTGTGACACTTCATACACTCTTCATTCTGAAAAAGATTGAGACATGCAATTAAAGATGGCACAGATTTGTTATCAGTGTTATCTAATGTTGACAAATGATCTGGAATGGATTTCTTTGGTCAAATGCTAAAAACAGCATTATTGTATGCAGCGACGCCGCATGGCAACAGGCAAGGCAGGCAATTGTTTGGGTCCCAAAAGCCACAAGGGGGCCACAGAGGGCTGACAAACTTTGAAGTCAGAACCTCAACAGCAATGAGATATTAGGTATGCTTACAATATTACTTGGTACTGTTTTTAACATAGAAAAGGTTTGGTTTACCTTCTTTTCTGCTGATGTTTCGAGTACTCCTGCAATCATCTTCAGAGCTCGCCGCTGTTGGCGGCATCACTTGCTTCTCCGTTCATCCACCAACAGTGGCGAGCTCTGCAGAAGACTGCAGGAGTAGTCAAAACGTCAGCATTAAAGAAGGTAAAACAACCCTTTTCTGTGTTAAAAGAACCAAGTAATACAGTTAGTAATAAACTTTTTGCAAATCAGAAAATGTATTTTGTCCTCACGGGCTTCCGTATAAGAAAACCATCCATGCCATCCATTTTCTGAGCCTGCATGTCCAGGTGGGGTCGCGGTGGGGGTGGGTGGGGGGGTTGGACAGACACACAAACTGGTGCCTATCTCCAGCGGTCAACGGACAATCAGGCGGGGTATACCCTGGACAGAGAGCCAGTCCATCGCAGGGCAACACAGAGACACACAGGACAAACAATCATAATACACACACACCTAAGTACAATGTAGACAGACCAATCAACCTAACAGTCATGTTTTTGGACTGTGGGAGGAAGCCGGAGTACCCGGAGAGAACCCACGCATGCACAGGGAGAACATGCAAACTCCATGCAGAAAGATCCCAGGCCGGGAAGCGAACCCAGGACCTTTTCGCTGCAAGGCAACAGCTCCAACCACTGTGCCACTGCGCAGCCCTCCGTATAAGAAAACATAGCATCTAATAGGGTGCCGCTCAGACACTTAGACCCGCTCTCATATATTTTAGACCCGATTTTTATGGTTATATGTTACAAAGCCGCCAATATTTTACAACTTTAAATAATTTTCGCCAACATTTCGATGGATATTTCCAGAGATTAACTGTAAAAACTATACATTGTCACTTTAACATTAATCCTGTGGTTTGTGAGGTTTGTGTTGAACAGACACACAAACATGCAAAAAGCATGCACTTTTTAGTTGTCCACTAGCTTGAAGCAAGTTTGCATGGAGGATGACCTCGTGTCCATACTGTACATCCAAGGTGAGTCATGATTGTTCAGTAAGCTAAGTTTAGACCGTGGCTACAGCTTAATTTTAGTTGTCATAACCTGCTAAACAGTTGTGCAGGGAACAAACCTTTAATAGATTAAATGTCTGACGGCCCTCAGAGCAACAAAGCTCACATGCAAGACCCTAAAATACCTCCATGGTCCTGTTCTTTGAAAACAAGCTACATGATCTGCTTAAATACTGTCATATGTCAGAGACCTATATCAGCTTACCAAACAGACTTCTAAGGTTGTTCTAGAAAATACAAATATTTAAATGTATTCAAAATCCAAAGCAGAAATTGAATTTAGTTAGAAAAAATAGGATCAATTTCAGGATTCACTCTTTCTCAATAACATTGAAGGAAATGATCAAAACTCCTGTTTAATGTTTCTTAACGTCAGCATGAATCATGTTTTGTATTCTTGAACGTGCATTCCATTATTAAAGAAGAGCTTACCTGCAGCAGGAGGACACATCTCCAAGTTTTAAAGGGGACATTAATGTTTTCCTGCAGGACATTTTAGCTCTGATGTCCATCTGTCCTTGTGCATGTCACACTGAGGCCCGCTGGCATTAGGAGGTTATAAATAGAGCAGCCTGTCCTGTCACATGAAGCTTCCTATCTTTACCAGATGTGAGAATTTGCAGTTCCCCAGGTAGTAAACATTCATAACAACAAAAACAGAACGTTGAATTTTTGCCTTTTCTTTCTCATTTCCTATTTTTTTCATCAAGTGTCTTTGGAGCTTTAATGTTCAAGGTGAAACTTCTTTAAGAAATTTATTCTAACACATTTGATGTTTTAAAATAATACTGTAATTGTATCTTTTAAAAGAGTTTGCCTTAATTTCTAATTAAATGTGTGTTTTCTGGAGATAACAGACTTGGTTGTTTAGTTAGTAGAAAATTACTAAATAATGTTAGATATTTTCATTTAAAGTGCAGAGAAATAAACAAATTAATAGATTAGGATTATACCATCTGTTGTCGAACAAACATTCATACACAGAGGTATCAAGGTGAGATAATAAAAATGGCTTCTCTGTAACAGGATTGGTGCATTCCTCAGCAAACCTGAGGCATTCTATTTAATTCTCACACCCTCTAGTGGAGAAACTAAATAATGCACCTGGTCAGGAAGCCTCCCTGGTGAGGTTTTCCAGGCACATCCAACCGGGAGAAGACTTAAAGACCCAGGACACACTGGAGGGACCATGTTTCTCATCTGGCCAGGGGACCACTTAGGGTTCCCCCAGAGGAGCTGGGGAGAGGGAAGTCTGGGCCTCCACTTAGGCTGCTGCCCCCACATCCCGACTCCCCAAAAGCAGAAGAAAATGGATGGGTGGATTATTTTAAGGCAAATTGGCAGTTTATACCCATGAGTGAAGACATTTAGCCCTTTGTTTTTAGATTTTGCATTTATTACTTCTGTCCTATTTTGTTTCATATCTGATGCTGTGACAACAGGCTCCATCAGGAAATCAACATATAGAAATTTCTATTTATGCATGTTATTGTTTTCTCTCCTTTTGAATAAAAACTGCCAGCTAATTGTTGAAAGGTGCTTTATTTCTGCAAATATCACACACACACACATCTCTTAACTTTCTTCATGGCACTAAAGCATGAATATTGTACATTACAAAAAACAATCTATCTGTATAAAATAGTTTGTACATGTATTCAACTAGTCTGCACAGCAACCAAACACACACAAAGCAACAGGAATGACCTCAGATTACTTAAGAATGTAAATAAAACATGGAAATCCATGGGCTTAGTGTTCCAACAAATAAATACATCATATAGCAAATCAAACTTGACTTGCAGATATCGTAAAGGCCACTGAGTATTAATGAAACACACTGTTCACCACAGCTACATCAGATTAAAAAACTCAATTATGGCACAGTTATCACAGTACAGAAACAATAAGTCATTTTCTTCAGACATTTGATAAAAAGGAGTCAGGTGTTCAAATTTAACCTGTTAAGGAATTAGATGGAGGCCCGAGAAAGATAAAGTGCAGGACCCTCCGAGTCTTGGGGGATTAAAATAAAGTTCAACTGGTTTAATAGGACTCCTGATGAATAAACAATCATTTATAAATGCAGATGGAGTGAGTTGGCGTTTATGACTCTGATGTGAGAAATACATTCACCGCGGCTGGTTACACACAATAAATACAACGTCAGTGACTAAAATGAAACAATCCAACAAATACAGATAGTACAGTGTTCGCAGTAACACATCAGTGTGTTCATTTGCAACAGAAAGCATGTTATTTTCTTCGTTGGCCTCGTTTTATCAAGTAAAACTCAGTGCACAAATGAAATAAACAGCAAACAAGCAAATACATCAGAAAAATGGAAATGATACTGGGCTGTCGGTTTGCTCCCCAAAACTCAATCTGCGGGATCTGGCTTTGCTTTTTTCCTTGTGTGCAAAACGATGTGGATTGCATGAATCACATTCAGAAGCAGCAGATTAAAGCAGCTTATTTTCACTAAAGTGGATATTTGGAAGTATTTGAAGCATTTTAACCCAAACTAAAGTTTAGTGTATTTTACACATCCAGAGAAGAGGGGCTTCAACGCCCTCCGTTTTTGGCACTTTTAATACAACGATCCAAAAATAACAAAGTCAGGGAAACCTAAGCCAATTTGGTTCAGAGTGGGGTAAATCCACTGAGGAATGGGGGATCCTGAGATTTTATTAAACAGTGATAAATAGTAATAAAAATTAAGCAAACTAAAGTTTCCCAGTGAATTTAGAGCACCAAGAAAGCTCCCAGCTCACCTACTGGTGGTTGATCTTTTCTGATGGCATGTTTGTTTTAAAAGCAGAGATGATATTGGCCCTGGTGAGATGAAGGCAGAAGCAGCAGCTACAGCTGTGTTTCCAGTCAGCTAGTCTTCCTTCTCTCCCAAACCTCCTTCCTGAGCGTTCTCTCCACCCACTTTCCTTTCTACGCGCTGTACACTTGGGTCGTGGCTGATGTGGGAATTGTGGCTCTGTTCAGCGTTGATGCGGCAGAGGACCGCTCCCGTCTCACGTACCTGGGCTTTCTCACTGCAGAAGAAGAAAAATAAAACACACTTTCTGGTTTTATACCCTCCTTTTTAACTGATGTGAGACCCTTCTAGCCTGGCAAGCCATCCTGTATATGTGAGCAAAATTACTTTGCCTCGGCAAATGACGGTCTAGATTCCAGACTTAAGAACTATCTGTATTTTTTGGAAGACAAGTCTCTTATTTTGATCTATATACAAATAAATTTGCCGGTTGTTCAGTTTTTTGTATAACTAGCAGAAATTTTTCATCTCACTTTTGTTAATATTAAAATTTTTCTTATTTTCCCAATTTATGTAACTTGTTAAAATTTACCTCATATCTATTATCCAAGTATTGATGTGGTCCGTGTTTGTTTTGTGTGCAGAAAAAGACTTAAGTGCCTATTTTATTTAATCTCCTTTAAATAACAACCACCTATAATGACTCAATCATTTTTTTGTTGAGCTCGCTAACACAAAGAAAACCAGCTCTAGTTAAACAAATATCCAAATAAACCAAATACTGTACATTGTCACATGTTGTTACTTTAGCAGAGCTCTTAAGTACTTTAATATCTGCAGCAAAACGACACACTCCTTTCAAACAATGACAAAAACATCCGGCGTTGCTCAACAGCTTTGCATAATCCCAGAACCTGTTCAGCAAGAGTGGAAACAGGAACTGAAAAGGATTGTTGTCTTACCTGACGAGGAGGGGATCATAACCGCCTAGAAGGAGAAAAAAGAAAAAGGAAACAGAGATACGAATCCTCTTAGATGTTTAAAATATTCTTTAGTGTAAATAAATCAGACTTACTGTTTCACTTGGCTGGAATATGAAGCCTGTTAAAGCACAAACATAAATAGTTAGAAGCCTCATCGTCTTGTCTTAGCAAGTCAGACAAGTCACGCGTTCGCCACTCACCCTTGTTGCGACGGTAGAAGAAGCTCGGGAGCCGGTTAGAGCGTTTGAGGTAGAAAAACGAGGCAACGGTTAGGATGAGGAACAGGCTGATCAACAGAGTTCCGAGAAGGAGAGACGCTGCCACACCTGGGCCTCCTGCACCAAAATTAAATAAATAAAAGTGTCCAACACCAATCAGTGCAGGAACTCTCTCAGAGAAGCTAATGAGAAACGGTAATGAGATGAGGAGTCTGTGTCTCTTACCAATTTTAGGAATGACTGTGGTTACTGTGGTGTGATTTTTACGCTCCACTGTGTAGTCTATAAAGCATAAGGCTCTAATTAACAAACAACACATTTATTTTATGAAAACACAACCATGGAAAGTGTTTAAAGCTCTTACTGTAGGTGCAGACTGTTACGTTCTCCAAATCCACCGCAGCCGAGTCACAGAATATGCAGACGGTGTTGTTGTTCTCCAAAATACGAAAGAAGCAACCTGGAAAATCCAAGGATAGAAATATTTTCTGTTTGGTCTAATTTTATGTTACAGTAAAAACAAGCAGTTCAGTTAATCCCTGTTTAATTTAAAGTTCAATGTAGGGGGCAATAAACACACAAGGATGGCATTTTCACACAAATGTTTGAGTTTCAATAAACGGCAACAAGTTAATGGGGATATATCGGTGCACAAATCCTCAGACCCAAAAGTTCACGTCACAGCTGAGCTGCAGACAGCAGGTTTTGGAGTCTTATTTCCTAATATTTGGACATCTCGCCTCCGATTGGATAATAGCAACGCAACTCTACAACTGACTTGCAACGTCCACAAAAAACACAAGCCTGGAGGAGCTTCTGCTGTGTGGTGAAGTTGCTAATGCTAACAGTTAGCTATAACCCAGTGTGACCAATTATAATCAGAAATAACATCATTACATTTTTTTAAGTTAACCACATATTTCAAACAAGAAATGTCCTAAATATAAGTAAAAAAAAATCACGTTTTTATTTGCTATTTGCTTTGAAGAATCAAACATTTGCTTTTGTTACCTATTTTATTTGTCAAAAAGCATGTACAACATTCTTTAAGGGTGTAAGAAACTATCTATGCACTGAAATATCACAATATTTTGTGTTAAGATACTGTGTTGATATTTAAAAGCGTATCAATGTTCTTTGTTGAAAATGTTCATACACACATTTACTGTATTTTTTGTGTGGAGTAATTCAAACTCCAACTGCTAGGTGGCAGCAGTTTTTAGAGCTTTCAACCTGATGGAACAGCGAGATCTCGCAATAACTCTGGATGTATCTGGAAAGCTTTCGACCTGAGTCAATATACAATTGACAATAAATAAAAATTGCTAAATTCAGACACATTGTAGCTGCCGTTTTAGCAGAACTATTCAAGTGAACGGTTCTCAAATACAATAAAATGTAGAACTATTTCCCCATCACCTCTCCTACTTTAAACAATTAAAAGTTTGCACAATGGCATGAACAAAATCTTGTTTATTTTATCTAACTGTATTCTGCTTCTTCACCGGAGTTTGCCCTTATTTGTACCCAAATAACCCAAACCTAGCAGTATGAAAACTATCGCTGTTCATGCAACAGTTTAAAGCTCCAAACTGAGACTGTCAGCACATCAATCACGTCCTCTAATCACCAGATTATTTCAGACAACTCTGCGATCCATATTTAAACTCCACCAGGCAAAGAATGTCTGGTACACCTCAGTTCCAACGCGACTTCTTGATGATTAAGTCAATGAAAACTTCCTTAAACTTAAACCTGCAGCATTACCTGGTTCACAATGAGTGTTGTTGGAGCATGAGCTGTTCACTTTGTGTTTCTCGCCACAGCACTCGAGTGAGTTCTGATGAAGAGCCTGCAGACACATGTGCAGGTAGAAATTAGCATACTGTAGAACAAAGCAGGTACGAGTATAAACCAGCCTTTACCTTTGTTACAGGTGTTTCGGGTCTGATGAGAATCACTGTGGCGGCCAACACTAAAAGGAACGACAAACCCATACTCAAACCCTTGGAGATGAAACACATCTGAATTAGACAAACATCAATCACACGAAACAGGACACACCTTTAAAAATACGTCTGTCTAAACTGTAAAAAATGTTTTTTTTTCCTGACCTAAAACTCGGCTTACTAGTTCTCCGGTCTTGAGTCATCCCTTATTTCTTTGTATTTTGCTTCCAAGATGCCAGATTTTCTTGGAATCTTTAATCTTGATCAATAATTCTTTAGACTATTTTTCTTTGAAGAATGCTTTGAAATTTGTATTAGAAAGCTTGGATCCTTGCAAACACAGCATATAGTGGTTAAACCTTGTTTCCCCTAAACCAGCTCAAGTTACAAACAAAACAATATAATTGACATATTAGGCAAGTCAAATCACCCAAACGAGTCACCATCCAACACCAAACACTTTATTTACAAGGCTAATATGTTAAAATGATTAAAAATACGCGATTGTAGCTTGCCATCACAACTCTCTGAGGTTGCTTTACACATGAGAGCAACATTAGCAAACAAAGCTGCTGCGGTTTAGCTTCTGTAGATGGATACAAAATGTGTTAAGCTAGCTAGCACCTGTCATGGCATGAAGTAGTAACCAAAAGCAAATTGCGCTAAAATAGCTATGCCAACGTTTAGGACGCATATTTGTCAATCTGTACGAGCTTGTTTCACGTTTTAATCGTACAGTTAATAGAAAAAATAGCTGATCCTAAATGAAAACACAAAAAAGTTTAATTACCAGCCAAACAGCACCAGGCGTTATCCTAACTAAACTGTGTGTGGTTTAAACACCAACTGTTCTGCTGCAAACATATCTCCACGCAGACACTGTCTGCTGTCTAGTTTGTCATCAACTCACCTTAGACGCCCAGTCAGTCAGATAAAATCCCACATCTCCTAGCTACTTGTTTGGTTTGGAGAGCACACTTCCGGTAGAGCGTTTCAAAGTAAAACGAAGAAACTGCTATCAGATCTTTTCTACCTTCTTCATCTGATCTCTTTTGAAGAATATTTTTGAACAAAGTAAGTACATGTTTTAATATTGTGCCAAATAAAAAAATCTGATTTACATAAAGATCATCTTTACAGGATCTGTTGAATTTGCTTTAAAAAAACGACAAACAAAATTACTATATAACTAAAAAATATCAAGCATCCAGCTAGGTTTATTTTAAAAGTGTAATGAGTTTGCATGATATTTGTCTAATCAGCTGCGAGTCACTTCACGGTTATCCACTTTTTCACTTGTGTCACACTTGAACCTAAACATCTCACTCGCGTTTCACTCCAAATAATTAAAAATTTTAGGTAGAGTTTTAGATTTCCTACGGCCCACAAAAATCAATCATTTTGAACGGAGCATTGCAATGGTTTTGGAATTACAATTTATCTGAGGGTCCATGACTGCACCTTTTCCTCGTGCGGATTATGTACAACAGCGGGAATTTTAAAAGCTGGCAAGCTAGCTACCGACCAGTTCATCGTTACATTCATATTACTCGTGAGTTATTTAAAACCATAATCACACCTTATTCTAGCGTTAATTATTCTAGATACATAGCACGTTTTATACCAAACTTAACGTTATTGTGCAAAAGTAGCAATCAATTAGCTGAAAAAAATCCTAAAGCTAACCAAATGTTTCTGGTTCACTACAAGTCCTAGCTCTGTGGAGCAGTTAACTTTGTTTTCTTTTACAAATAGGAAATTTAACACAATGAAGCATATAAGGAACATCAAAGAAATGCTCAACATCCCAAATGGAAACAGGTGCTGTGCTAAAATCTTTTATTAACACTGATTACATTTTTACTAGTTGTCTGTCCTTGTGTTAAATGTGAAAAAAGTGTTTGTTTATCCAGTGCTTTGTTTTGTATGTTTTGTGTGGAAAAAATAAACAACAAAAACCTTGAACAGAAATGCTACCAGTGGCCACTCCACCTTGCCAGACTCCCAGCATTTATTTGGCTCACAATTTTGGACTGACAGTTCCCAAAGCAACTCTCAGGATGTGAATTTCTCATCCAGAAACTCCCAGCGAAGTTCACAGGAGGTAAGTATCTCTGTCTGCAGTGTGGTTTTCAGACTTCTTTTGCTGGTGGTGGTCAGAGGGACCGGTGGTGCCTGTGCTTGGCAGCCTCGCCTCTGTCATTGAGCCCTAGGGAAGCTGTGGCTACACTGTAGCTCATCACCATCAGTGTGTGAATGTGTGAAAGGAGGAATGATACACTGTAGTGTAAAGCGCTTTGGAGTTCTGTGACTCTGAAAGGCGCTATACAAATGCAGGTCATTTATCATTATTCATTTTAAAAATAGTTATACCATACAGTTTCTATGTTCCTTTAAATCTGCAACTGCAAATTTGAAAACAAATTAGCTTACATTTTTTTCATGCCCTTTAAAGGTGTGGGACACTTGTTTAAGCAATACATTTGCAGTAGAGATGTAAGAAAAAATCAAAATGGCAATATATCGTGATCTATTTTCTTGCGATATTATCTTGATATTCAAAAGCTGTGTATCGACTTTTTGGAAGAATTTACATGCTTAAAAGTTTTCTTTTCTTTTGTGGATATAACAATACACATCTCTAATTTGCAGCGTCTCTGACAGGAATG